AACCGCTCTTCCGATCTAAAACGTGCGCTACCGTAATCCCAAATTCAGACACCGCGTTGATAAAATTCCTTTTTCCTTCCAAGAGTTTTTCCTCTGCGTTTTTGTTGTTTTCTTTTTGTATTCTTTTTTTGCACTGGATGATATCAACTACTGCGAGATGTGATAGAGAGATTTGTGAGCTAGGGGTTGCACAGAGACCGCAGGGAGGTGTGACTGTGAGGGAGCGATTTTGTTTATGTTGTTCTGGAGGACGCTTCTTGCCTGTTTTCTTCTTTGGGATTACTTATCAGCTACTGTTTCATAATTGGAAAGCAGCTATCCATGAGACTTTTATCGCGGGAGCTGTCTTTAACCATAGCCAAACGCACAACTTGTCTGCGCCCTCTCATGTGTAGTTGTTCTCTACCTGCGACTGCATGTTATCTACGGGACTTTAGTGTCAGTGCTGCACCTTGAGGACAGCCACAGTTAGAAGATATCACCCAGGTGTCACTACCCTCCAGCCTCGTACCCGTACAAATGGCACACTGCAGCTATTGACCACTTCACCTGGCACATGAGCAGAACCAAGCTACTCGGGGATGAGTGTGCAGTTTGTCTTCAACTGACTGGGTGATTTATTCTGAACTATGTTTTGTATTGCAGTAATCACTTAACATGCAAAAAGTTTCATCACAATAAAGACGTAATTAATCTAATTCATCAGGTTCTGGACTTCTGGAAACGACAGCAAGTCACGGACTTCAACAACTGCACTGTCAACGACCAGCCATCCTCATCGACAACATCAGAATCGCTATCCGCTCCAGACGAGAGAGTTTCATGTCCAATTTGTGGATGTTTTCTACAGAACGACGACAGAGTAGTCAATCAGCATGTGGACGAGTGTTTAAACGCTTCTATACTTCTGCAAGAGGACATCCAGATAAAACCGAAACCGACGGCTCCAAAGAAACGAAAAGCGACAATTGACAATTTTTTTGGAAAAAGAGAGCGAAAATAACTAGGGAACTTCTCTGCTTAGTGGTCCCCGATCGTTCCATGGCTGGGTGCATTCACTGACTTGAGTGTTACGTCCGAGATGACTTTGCAGGGTTCATTAAAAGTATAACAGTTACTGAAGGCACAGTTCACGCTACTCGCATACCGGCAATTTTTCCGTTTTAGCGGTTTTACCGTTTCCACATTTTCTTGTATACACTCCCCAGATGTGGCTCGCCAAAATTCTAGATAGCTGCTCCTAATTCATATACAGGGGGGGGGGCCAAAAAAAAGTCATTTTGCCTCCATGACTTTCAAGGCGCTATAAGTTACAGCTTTATTAATTTTATCGGACATTTTTACTACCATATTAAAGAGCACATTAAATACTATAATGATGCTCCGCCACAGCCTTCTGGAGGAGCGCCATCGAGAGATTCGGCTGCGCGAAGGAGTGTCTTACGAGTTGAGCGAGATCGTTGATTTCTCCGCCACTGTAGACCACCCTGTTGAGCTCCGCCCGAACCGAGTAATTGAGGGGGTTTAGTTCAGGACCCCCGCTTAAATACTCCATCTTTTCCAGGTACTCAACGTTCTTCCATTCCAAGTAGGCGAAAGTTTTTCCAACGCCCTTCGATTAAATGTGTTGTCACCCAATCCTGTAGTAGGCAGTACAAAGTTTCCAAGAAGGTACGGGCGACGACATGAAGATGGGATATTCTCCTCGAGTTGCTCGATGTAGCCACCAGCGCACACCCTCAGTCTGGGGCCCACGAAGAAAATATCGGTTCATCCATTCCAGGTACGGCCGGTCCACACCATCAACCCGCGCCTTGGTGAATGGGGTGAAGATGATGTCCCTCGGACGGCGTAGCACGTTGCCGGAGCTGCTCGATGTTTGAGGTCTTGCAGATCAAGAGTACTGGTCTCCAGGTAGCTATCCATGGGTGATTCCATTCAAGAAGTTCCGCAGCTGTTTGGAGGCCACGTGAATTCCAAAGGCGTTCTCCACTCAGGCCGCGACTGGAGATGACTTCATATTTTGGTGTACATGAAGGTGAATGGCGGCAGCCGGCTCCTGCTTATAGAGGAAGATCTTGGGTATCTTCCGCCCTGGTACTCATATCCACTTCCTCTGTCTGGGCTGCGAAAACTTCGCTCATATGTGACTCGGCCGGAATGACTTTTTTTTGCCCCCCCCCTGTATAGTGAAAATAGTAGTATGGTTCCTCCCCTTCCATGCTCGCACTGAAAAGTTTTTCGGGGCGGAAGATAGCAAGTTTCGCGAAAGTTCGGGACGAAAAACTGTTAGGCCAAGCTGGAAACGTTATGGAAAGTGGCTAGTAGGTGTGGGCGAAGTGGGGGGTGGGAGGAGGGGACTTGTACCGAGAACGCCTCTTCCACGGTCGCGGCGTACAGAGACTCTTCGGGGGGGGGGGTCGTACTGACACCACCATTTCACACATCACGATGCTGTACCTTGTTTGAGGGTGCACCTAAACGACCAAGCTGAAGGGTAGTGATACTGATGCCCCATGGGACTCCACCGGGCTATGGCAACCGACTAAAAACTGCCCAAGTCTCGTTCGCGTCGCACTTCTCCAGCGAGATGTCTAACTGCGGCCTGGGGACCATTCCGCTCATTGTCATGGCAAAGAAAAGGAGCGGCCGGGGTGTACGACTTGCCTTCAAACTTTTCGGAGAGATAACAACCCAAACATCAAAGGAATGGAGGGAGGAAAAGAGATTTGAGAACCTCGATCTCGAATCGCATGTTTGACCCAGAACCAGACTAAGAGTTTGGCTATGACCGGCGAAGCAGTGATGGCAATGTTAAGGAGCGCCAAAGCCTGCTCGCGGGGTCAAATTCTGGAATGATTCCTGCGAGTCGAATACTCCATAGCTAAGCAAGCCTTGCATGCTCATGAGGTATCACGCTCGTGTTAGAGGCCAAAAACACATATATGTACACTTGTCTTATACGAATAGCTTGATATCAACCCTTCAAGTCATTGCTATACTCCGCTAACTGCTGCTTTCTAAAAAAAGTTTGTATTGTCAGTGCTGATGGAAAATTAATTTTGGCCCAAGAGGAAGCTGACTGTTGAGACATTGTCATTGGGATATTATCACAAGAATGCTGAGTTGTGGGCAAAAGTCGTGCCCAGGCGGGAGTCGAACCCGCACCTCACGCTTTCCGGGCGAGTGCGCTATCCGTTACGCCACCAGGGCCGCTTTTACCCTCTCAGCTTAACGGCTTATGCCGTAACCTTACAGCACTCACACGTTTAACTTGGCTCCCGCCTGGGGCACGACTTTTGCCCACAACTCAGCATTCTTGTGATAACATTCGGAACGCGTACTGCGGCGTTAAACAGCAGTTATCATAACAAAACAGCTTCAAAAATTCATTGGGAATTTGACTCATTTTTAAAGATAATTATTGCACGTGTACATGATACCTCCTGCTCTAACCCCTGAAATAAGCATATTGTTAGACTCTCAAAGCGTTTGTAAAAGCTGTTTATTTCAAGTGCAACATTCT